GGGGGGGGCTAGGGTGAAAGAGAGAAGGGAAGGACATCACAAAAGCCGAGGACACAACGGGGCAAGATAGCAGGGGCAGCACGGCTGGGAGTAATTGCCAGCACACACACACACACACACACACGTGTCGAAGCGCTGTGTGTGTGGAGGGGGGGGGGGAAGCGAGAGGGGGACGCTCTGTACATGTTTAAGCTGTATATTAAGTGTGGTCGGGTGTGGTGAAGGGGAGATAGCGAAAGGCGAGTGGGGACCAGGGAGAGAGGACATGAGGGATGGAGAGAGAGAGAGAAAAAGGGGGAGTGTGTGTGGACGGGAAAGAGAAAGAAGTCCCACCAAAGGGCAGGACGAAGAGGCGGCAAAGCCAACACCCGGGAATGCCCCCGCCCTCCTCCCCGCTCCTGTCGCCCCCTCCCTCGGCCTGTGTGCGCCCTTTCCTTTTGCTCGGGCCCCTCCCGCTCTCAGGGGGTGGATGCAGCCGAGGAAGGGCCGGACTTTCCGCCCGGCAACAGCATCGACAGCATCATGGCCGAGGAGGACCGACGCATGCCGCTGGATGGAGGGGCAGCCGGCGTGACAGCAATGCTCTCCTGGCTGGTGCTGGCGCTGGTGCTGGCGCTGGTGCTGGCCGCCGCGGCCTCGGCGTCTTGCACCCCGCCAGAAACCACAGTGACGCCGTTGGCCAGAGCCAAGCGGAAGGTCCCTCGTCCGAGAAGGGCGCTCGGCACGCGGAAGGCCTCGGTCGGGTGCAGTACTGACAGGGAGAACAGCCGTAGGATGACATTCTGATAGTCGATCACGGCCAGGGGATCGATGTCGTCCGTGTAGAAGAGGTTCGGCACAAACACGCGCGCCAGGTTGTCCACCTCCATTTGGTTGCCGGCCGCACACAGCTGCACCTCGTGCAGGAACCCCACCAAAGCCTGGAGGAGCTGCCGGTGTGGCGCCGGAAGAATGAGGTGATACAGCTGAAGGACGACGAGCTACATGGGCCAATGCACACAGGCACACACAGGCGCCAAGGCATGTCAGCATGGCGGCCAGTCACACATCGGACCACTGCAGGAGTCGGTGGGGGAGACACGCAAAAAAAAAAGGAAAAGAAGAAAAAAGAGCGAGAACACAAGCAACACGCACTGTCTGCTCTTCAAGTAACGAGTGCATGTGGGCCTTGGCCAGGCCATAGTAGATGCCGGTGAAGGCCTTGGAGATCAGGCGATCCGGCAACTCACGCAGGAACTCCTTGAAAACATCGGCCAAATCGAAGATATTCAGCTCCTCATACTCGGCAAAGGACTTGCTCAGCTCGAGACACTCGCGCACGAGCTGCAAAGGCAGGCCCCCATGCCCGGGGGTCGTCGCCACCCGGGGGGACAAAGACCGGGATTGGGAGGACGAGGAGGAGGAGGAGGAGGAGGTCAGACACATGGGCACCCGGCGAGCCACCGGCTTCGGGATCCCAGCAGGCGGATGCCCATTCATGCGCACCTTGGTCCGCTTCTTGCTGCCGGCCACGCGGAAAAGCCCCTGCGAGTTGAGGCCGCGCTGGCGGATTTCCACCATCAGGGCATGTGCCGCGCGTGGCAGGGTCAAGTCATCTGGCCCGCCAGAGGGAATGGTCACCGTCTCCAGCTCGCTCAGGGGGACGCCGAAGATGGCGCGGCCCCCCGGGCAGGGAGGGGCCGAGCGCAGCTTGATCGGTGGCGGGAGGTGCACGCCGGCCTGCTGCGCTCCGGCCAGGAGGCTGGCACTGGTGTTGGAAGAGCCAGCGGAGGAGGAGGAAGAGGAAGAGGAAGAGCTACTGAAGAAGGACCGGAAACGCCGCTGCCAGCTGCTGCCGGAACTAGGCGTGGCAGTGGCAGCGGCAGCGACAGGAGCGGCCGGGGCGGCGGCAGGCGGAGCCGAAGACCCAAGCACACCGCCAGAGCCGGTGGCGGCATTTGCCTCGCCACTGGCCAGGCCGTCAGACCCGGCCTCCATCTGCAGTGAGTAGTTGATGACCTGGTAGAGGCAAGTGAGGGCCGCTGCCGTGGCCGTGGACAGGTCCAAACTGCTGAGCGACGTGTAGGCGACCTCTTCGGCATGCGCGACAGGGGCCGACGCTGGCAAGGCAGAGAGCGAGAAAGGAAGCGAGAGAGAGAGACAGAGAGAGACAGAGAGAGACAGAGAGAGACAGAGAGGGACAGAGAGAGAGAGAGAGAGAGGCGGGGGGAGGCAAGAGAGGACGGTCAGACAGGGAGGATGGCTATGCGCGTGCCCGGGCGGGTGTGTGCGTAGGCATTTGTGCACGTGCAGCAGGGAGGCGAGGCGTACCATCTCCCCCGGCCGGGGACGTGAGCATCGGAGCACTGGCAGGGGTGCTAGCCAGGGCCATGTCGCCAGGATGCAGGGGGGCCGCGCGGGCCGGGGTCTCCGGGCCGCTGCCGGCCACCGGCCGGCGAACCTTCGACGGGCTCATGAGCTGCTCATCGGCCGGGCGCTTGCCAGCCGGGCTGATGACCATGGCGCTGTCGGGCGAGGCGCCGACGCCGGTGGCCAGTTTGCAGGCCGACGCCGGGGAGGCCATGTCCGTGTCGCCGGTGGCCGCCGGGGCTGGCGTGGCGTCGGGTGCCGAGGTGGCTGCTGAATGGGAGAAAGAGCTGAGGGCCTGGGTGAAGAAGGGCAGGTGCATGGCCAGGGGAGCGACTCCGGCCCCGGCGGCGGGCCCGGCCGAGGATGAGGGGGTAGTGACCCCCGTGGCCGGGGCGTCGGGCATCCGGAGCTGAAAGGGCTTCACCGGGGCCGACGCTGCCCCCCCGAAGGTGCTCGGGGCCGGAGGGAGGGAGAATCCACCAGAGCCTGTTGAGGAGGAGGAGGAAGAAAACCCGGCAAAGGCAGCGGAAAAGGCGGATCCCGAGGTCGCAGGCTCCGGCGTGAAGACCACCGAGGCCGCTGCCCGGGCGGCTGTATCCGAGAAGGAGGCAAACATGAAGGGGTTCTTGCTGTCGGAGGGCGCCGTCAGGGCCGACTTCAGGGAGAAGCTCGGGGCATCCGGGGCCGGGACCGGTCGCGCAAGGAGCTCCGTCGCCCGAGGGGTGGCCGGGGCCGGGGCCAAAGTCGAGGCCGGGGCCGCAGCCGCTGCACGGGAGGGGGTAGCCGCACCGGCGGGGGGAGGAGGCGGGGCGTGCGTGGGCCGGGGCGATCCGGACCGACTCGGGGTGCCTGGGGCTTCGGTGGCGGCGGCGGCGGCGACCCGGGCCAACGGCAGGGGCTTGCCGGCACTCGGGCCGGCAATCCCAGGGAGGTCGGTCTCGCCTGACACGCGC